CAGATCCAGCGTATGGAAGACATCAATACTTTAGTTTTCGCCGTGTTCGGCCTCTAGAGGCCCTCGCCGGGCCCCGGGCTTGTTACACAACGACTCAAGAAGAGCACCCGTCTTGGGGAATGTGTCGAGATTTCCGGGGGGCCGCATTGAAAAAAAAACACGGCATCGGATCCTTGGGTGTGAGGCGGCCGAACGGTCATTCATCGGCCCTGGGTGCACGGCTGAAGTGTGGTTCCGCGGTGCGGATCGTTGTTTCGTTGTTGCGTTTTCTTGTTTTGACGTCTCATTTCTGAAGAATAAGTGTTTTGAACCCCCCTTCTGGTTCACCTCGTTTTTTCAATGCAAGTGCTCCTCCGGGGGCTCGCACGTTGCTTTTCTTACCAGGGATAGTCTTCCTCCTCGGATTGCGTCCCTGGCCCACGGTTTACAACAACAAGAACAACAAGGCAGGAACACATCAATAGCAACAACGCCAGCAACGACAACATCAACAATCAATGTAAGATTGTTCGCCCTGATCTGCGCGCGTGCCAGACAACACGTATATGCCAAACCCTCGATACCCTCATTTTTCGTCTGCGATCGTTCCCCTTTGGGAATATATTTTACCTGCAACGTGTATGTCATGCAGGCCCTACGGCAGGTGAAGAGCGGGCGAATGGAAGACATGGACAAGGCGAGGGGGATGGAGCACGATAGAGAGAGAGAGAGGGAGAGAGTAGCAGGAGGGTGGTTAGGAGCAGAAAACACGTGGCAGAACCAGATGAGCAGATCGGGCGGGTAGACCCTGACAGGCGGGTCGGGAAGGCGGGCCCAGGTGGCCAGGTCAATGCAGGCGGGTTGCTGAAGCGTGCGTCCTGCGTGAATCGCGAGTCTCGGGAGATAGCTCGATTCCCAAATGAATCGTGATATCGGCCAAAGCGAGAGCGTGATTCCTGAGTGTCGAGGGCGCGGCGTTTGAATACATTGCAAAGAAATTAATTCCCACGCGAGAGCGCGATTTCTGCATACATTGTGTGGGCGTCCCGCGCGAGAGCGCGATACGGGAATACATTGTGAGGAAGTATCAGGAGGGAGCCGTTGTTGTTGCAACTCGGGGGCCAGGGGCCCAATTCTGAGACGTAAGATTTTCCTTGATAAGAAAAAACCGAGATAGGCACTTCAATTGGACAAATTAGATGTGCTCTGGAGGGGGATCAACAGTATGTATATTTCAGTAGCGAGAAGAGTTCGACAACAGCAACAACAGCATAAACAACAACAACAACAACAACAGCAACAGCAACAGCAACAGCAACAGCAACAACAGCTTATTTCAACATCTCGCCCTCGCGCGGGACGTTCTCACAAGTTATGCCGGGTTCGCGCTTTCGCGTGGGACCCCTTTGCAATTGATTCAAACACCGCGCCCTCGACGCTCAGGAATCGCACTCTCTCTTTGTGGCGTTTCTCACGAATTACCTGGGAATCGTCCTCGCGATATATGCAGGTCTCACGCTTCAGCAACCCGCCTGCTCGACCTGGCCGCTTGGTCCCGCCTTCTCGACCTGCTCGTTAGGGTCTTCCCGTCCGATGTGCCCGTCTGGTTCTGCCACGCGTTTTCTGCTCTCCTGCGAATCTCTCTTGTGCTCCATCCCTCTCCCTCCCCCTTCCATCCGTCCTCATTTCCCTTGTTTTAGGGCTGCGCTAAATGCACGTGGCAGGTAAGGAAGGTGTGCCCCCCAAGGGGATGCGATCGAATACTGCGAGGGCGGGTACCAAATGTTGGAACTATGCGCATCCAGGCGACAGGGGGCGTCGCCGGCTTGCTGTCAAATTTCCACTTCTGAATAATTGTTATTGATCTCCCCTGCGCGGTAATTATCGTATTTGTTGCAAGCAAAGTGTTTCTTCCGGGGCTCGCGCCCAGCTCTTTACGAGGGAAAGCGAGGTGCCACCAAACTGAGCCCCTGGCTCCGGGTTTACAGCAACAGCGGCTCCCGCCTCATATTTCTCTACAATTGTTGTTCCGAGTCGCGTTCTCGCGCGGGACTTCCTCACAATGTATACAGGAATCGCGCTTTCGCGTGGGAGTTCCTCGCAATGAATATTCAGACGCCGCGCCCTCGACAATCAGGAATCACGCTTCCGCTGCAGTTTTCTTCGCGATTTATTTGGGAATCGCGCTATCGCTGGAGTTCCTCGCGATTCATGAAGGACGCTTCCTTCCATCCGTCCTCTCTTCCCTTGCCTTAGGGGCTGCACGAAACACACGCTGCAGGTAAGACAGATGTACCCTAAATGGGGGCACGACCGAAGGCAATGAGGGCGGACATCGATGGCTTAGGACATACGGGTTGAATGGCACGCGAGCAGACAAGAGCGAACAGCCTTAACCATGTTGCTGTTGTTGTTGCTTCTGTTGTTGCTGCTGCTGCTGCTGTTGTTGCTGTTGTTATTGCTGTCGTTATTGGTGGTGTTGCTGGTGTTGCTGCTGCTGCTGTTGTTGTTGTAATCATCCTTTCAAACGAATCAGCATTGTTGATCTCCCCTCTTGTGACCATTCTACGTTTCAATTAACGTGCTACTCCTGGGGCTCGCACCTTGATCTTGTTATAAGGGAAAGCTGTGTGTCACCACCTTGGGCCCCTGGCCCCCCCGATTCACAACAACAACAATAACAAACACAACAACAACAACAACAACAAAAACAAAAACAAAAACAACAGCAGCAGCAGCAACAACAACAACAACGGTTCCCGCCTGATTCCTCCTAACTATGTAATCCAAAATCGCGTTCTTGCGCAGGACACCCTCACAATTTACGCAGGATTCGCGCTCTTGCGTTGGACTCCCTGGCACTTTATTCAAACGCCTCGCCCTCGACACTCAATAATCGCCCTCTCGCTTTGGCCTTTCTCACGAGTTTTCTGTGAATCGCGCTATCGCTTGAGACCTCGCGATTCGTGCAGGATTCACGTTTCAGCAAGCTGCATACGCGACCTGGCCGCCTTGGCCTATCTTCCCAGCCCGCCTGCTAGGGTCTGCCGACCCGTTTCGCCCGTCTGGTTCTGCCACGCGTTTTCTGTTCCTATCCCCCTCCTGCTCATCTCCCTCGTGCTCCATCCTTATCCCCCCCCCTTTCCATCCGTCCTCTCTTCCTATGCTTTAGGGGTTGCGCTACACTATTTATCGTCGCGGCGCGGCAGAGTTAATCCGCACACGCGTCCAGGATGGGCTGCGCTAAACACGCGTGGTAGGTGAGGAAGATCTACTCCCAAGGGGTTGCGATCGAAGACGAAGAGGGCGGGTACAGAGTGTTTGGGATATACGTGTTGAACGGCGCGCGAGCAGATTGGAGCGAACATACTTAAGTTGTTTGTTCTTGTTTTCGCTGCTGCTGGTGATGTTGTGTTGTGGTTATCGTCGGCCTTGACTGCGACCCGCCCGCGACCTAACCCGCCACCCACCCCGCGCCCGCTCCCCTCTGAAGTATCCGCGATTGCGGGGTGCTACGTACTTGTACCATAGCCTCCTCAGTTGCGGATAAGGGAGATGGCGGCGGGGGGAGCATCGTCGGCAGTCTGTGACGCTGGAGCTCAAAATTAATTTAGACGAGGCTCGCCGCCGGCGCCAATCTTTCGCACAGAAGGCAATGAGCCCGCCGCAGGCGCCAATGTTCTAGTCAACGCAGTTTGGGTGGGTCGCGGCTGGGTCGCGGGACAGGGCGCGGGATAGGTCGCGAGGTGGGTCGCGGGGGGGTCGCGAGGGGGACGCCGGGCTTGTGCGCCTAACACGATTAGCCCGCCGCAGGCGCCGATTTGTTGTCAGCGAAATATGGGTGGGTCGGGGATGGGTCGCGGGATAGGTCGCGGGTGGGTCGTGGGCGGGGTCGCGGGTGGGACGCGGGTGGGTCGCGGGGGGGTCGTGGGGGGGACGACGATGACAACAATAAACATCAACAAGAATCCGCTTCGCGGAATCACAACTTCAGCCACGCATTCGGGCACAGTGTAATGCCGTTCGGCCCCCATCACTCTGATTATGTGTGCGTCGGTACCAAAAGACGACGCGCGTGTCCCGAAATCTCATATAGTATATGATGGGTTGCGGGCGCTATGTGTTCGGTTTGCACGTTCGTCTGCAAGGGGGGCGCCTAGTGCTAGTAAGTCCGTCTGCGTCCCACTCTGATCTCCGACGATGTGACTGCGTCAGTCCAGCATGTTATCCTTGATTTCGGCATCTGTGGCCCGTTTTCGGGCCCCAGGGCCACCCAACAAAAGTACCCCAGGGGGTCGGGACCTCTGGAGTGTAGCGATTCGTGCTCCCGGGGGCCCCCGAGGTCCCATAGGGGGGACCCCTTGGGGGGCGTGGGGGCCTCGCTGGAGATCCTGGGGCCGCCTTGGGGCAGGGACGCCTCTGGCAGCGCCCGGGATCCGTCGCCGGCCTCTGGGGTCGTCATCGGCTCCCCCGCCGACGCTGACGTCCTGGAGGAGCCGAGTCAGCGGCCAAGTGCCGGATGACTGGTGCGTCCGCGCCAAAAAGTGCCCAAGGAGTGCCATCCCAGTGCAACTGCTGCGCCTGGAGGAGCAGGGAGAAGGAGACGATGATCGCCGCGGTCTTGGCCGCAGCTCCGTGCTTCGCAGAAGGGCCGCGCGAGGGCGCGACGGTACCTGCGCTTCGTGCCTGGCGAGCCTGCGAAGCAGGAGGACAAATATGCCCTGCGTGCGATGAGATCCTGCCCCCCCCCCTGGGCAGGGCTCATTTCGATTCCTCCGATTCGATTCGATTCGATTTCGGTGGCCTCCGACTCCGATTCGATTCGATTTCAGATTCCGATTTGGACGCCGATTCCTCAATGGAGGCCTACTAACCTGCCGATTCCCGCCGATTCGACTTTTCCCGACTCGGCTGCCGATTTCCGCCGATCCGATTCATTTCGATCGCCGATCCGACTTGTCGATTCGATTCTGGGGGCGTCTGCCTGGGCAGATCTCGTCGCGCCCGGGTGCCGCCGCGAGGACGGCTCCGCCTTTGTCAGCAAGAGCAAGAGCATGAGCATGATGGAGACCCGCGCGTCCGCCCCGCCCCCTCTTCGGCCACCATGCCTGCCTCAGCGATCCGAGCTAGGAGCCCCGCGGTGAGGAGGAGGAGGAGGAGGAGGAGGAGGAGGAGGAGGAGGAGGAGGGGGCGCTCTGGGCGGGGGCCTCGACTTCGAGGGACCTCGTGGGCTGCCAGCTCTGCCTCCGTCTCCTTTGAAGGGGCCCCAGGACACACAAATAATACACACAAATAAAAAGATTCCCCATATTTTCCTATATTTTCTGGGTTTTTGTCTTCCCCCCCACTTCCCATATTTTCCCATATTTACTGGGGAATCGACGATTATTTGTGTCTGTGTGTTTCTTTCCCTCCTGATCCTTCCTCGGCGGGAAAGGCCCGCGGGCGCCGCCGCGAGGGCTGCACCCCGATGGCGGAGGCGGCCAGCGGCAGCTGGCGGAAGCAGCACGTCACCCCCCAGTGTGGCCAGGGGTCGAGACGTTGACGTAAGACGTTGAAGTAAGCACCGCTCTGGGCCTTGTTAAGCACCGCTCTGGGCCCGAACGTTGGATCTGGGTCCTGGAACCTGCTTGTGGTCTCGGCCCCCCGGCCGGATCAGAAGAAGCCCTTTCGTTCCCCGGCATGCGTTCCTGTAGGTGGTACGGGGGTTGGAGCTCAGAGGCCACCACTGGTGAAGCCGTCCCTTCGTGCCCGCGTTGTTGTTCTGGCCGTTTCGCTTGGGACATGCTCATAGTTTTGGAAATCGGGCGTGCCCCTCGCAGATCGCGTCGTAAGGATAAGTACGCACATGCAAGTTCAATATGTTTAGCATGGGCTGCACTGATCTTGCGCATACCCGCTTGACAATCGATAGGATGATCAATGACCGACTCCGAAGTTCGCATACACAGGCTGGATGGAGGCTGGATCTTGGCGGAACCAGCCTTGAGATGTCGCCAGGGATGCCAGGGCCGCCCTTGCGGCCTTCAAAAAGCTCCAGGCGCGAGGCAAGACACCCCGAGGTTCCACGACGCGCCTGGAGCTGTGGCCGGCTGGGCTGGGACCAGGACAAACCGTTCCAGAACGTTCCCTTATCGCTTTCAGAGCGTTCTGGAACGGCCACCGCGCCCGACAGTGAACAGCCATCGCAGTCTCGGACCCTCCGTCAATATGTAAAGCCATGGTGCAGACGCTTCTTGCACATGCTCGTGGCAAAATGGCCAATCTGGCTTCTTGCTGACGCCGGCCTTCTGTCCCGCCTGCTTTTCTGTGCGCCCCCTACCCGCCCGCCCTGGGAACCACTCGTTTCGCTGGGGCCTAGTAGTCACACGCTCTAGCCAGTCCGTGCACCTATTGGTCGACTCCACTCTCGGATCGACGCGTGGCACCTTTTAGTCAGAGCGTGTATGCTTTGGCACAATCTAGATCGGCACCTGTGTGTGCTTGCGCGGGAAGGTGGAGGAGGGAGTGTGATTGATGCCTCCTGTCTGCTGTGATAGTGTGCGCTCAAGTCTCTCCCGCTCCCCCCCGCCTTGGCCCTCGCTGGAGCCTCCTAATCACACGCTCCAGCCAGTCTGTACACAGATCGGTTGGTGTCACCATCGCATCGACGCGAGTCACGTTTGTATAAGAGCTTGTCCCCCCTTCAGCAAGCGCCGCGCAGCAAGGACCAGTCCGCGGCGGTGTCCAAGGCGAAGACTTCGGCGTTCGCGTTCCAGGCTCGCCTCCCAGAGGGTGGGGGGGGCCTGCACGACGGGGGTATGGAGGAGAGAGGAGGCGGGGGCGAGTTTGGTTCGCTCGCGCCACATCTGTCACCCAACCCTTCCCAGCCATCCCTTCCCAACGCGCTCTTGGTTTCTCCGTCCGCCGACGCGTGTCGCACCGGACCTGGAACTCCAAGCGGGAGCTGCGTGCCGTTTGGGGAGGAGGTGGTGGATAAGCAGGAGGATCAAGCAGCAAGGGGGACCGGGAGTCGCACAGGAGCTGGAACTCCAATAGGGAGCTGCGTGCCCTGGAGGAGGAGGTGGTGGATAAGCAGGAGGCCCAAGCAACAAGGGGGACCAGGAGGATGGCGATGAAGGACAGCGGACGAGGACCAACAGCAGCAGCAGCAGCAGGAGTTGGAGCGAGAGGAGCGGGGAGAGCAGGACAACCAGGAGCAGGGGAGGAGAAATGCCTCGGGAGGGCGAAGGATGAGGAGGAGGAGGAGGAGGAGGGGGAGGAGGTGGAGGGGGAGGAGGAGGATGAGGGGAGGAGGAGGAGGAGGAGGAGGAGGAGGGAGGAGGAGGAGGAGGAGGAGGAGGAGGGAGGAGAGGAGGAGGAGGAGGAGGAGGAGGAGGAGGAGGGGGAGGAGTGGGAGGAGGAGGAGGAGGAGGGGACATGCGGGAGGCACCAGCACCGAGAAAGGGTTCGTGGATCCAGAAAAAGGTGGCTCGCGCTGGGGCGAGAGAGCGCCATATCTGCACGACGAGCGGGACCCCATGCTGCAGCGCGAGCGCCGTGTTTCGGCAGACCGAAGGCCTTCGGACGGAAGCGACACACAGCAGAGAAGACATCTCGGACCATCCTGTCTTTGAGACGGTCTCGCGGTATTATGTTGTGTACCCACTGGTCGTTGAAAGTAGGTGTTCTTGGATTCCCAGATTCCGATCTATTTTCAGCGCCTTCCTACTTCAATGATGCTCGAGTGGCTTCACCTTTTCCGCCCTCCTCAGGGGGCAGCCGGAACCCAATCTATTTTCAACGCTTTTCTACTTCATATTACTACTACTTCGTCCGACCTATGGGTAAGTGTGGAGAGGGAGGGGGCATGCAGCTTGCTCGCGCCAGGTCTGAAATCCTGATCCGCCCTCCCCTCCTTCAACATGCAGTTGAGAATTAATTTTATCACAAAGCGGACAAAGGGGTCGAAGAAGTCACGTACCCCGCAGTTGCCGTTTCGTCATCGATCGTGGCAAACGCTGGAGCGGGAACACCACTTGTTGATGCATTGGTAGGCCAGCGCGGCGGCGCAAGAGTCGTACCGTCGGACAGAGGCTATACAGCAAACGTACGTGTGGCAAACGCTACGACGGGAGCTACATGGTTTCTGAGGCAACCGTTGTACCACCGCTGCGGCAAGAGCGTCGTGCTCCATTGAACGGAGAGTTCATGGAAATCCAGCATTGTGGCAAACGCACTGGCGAGAACACTTTTGCGGATGCTGAAGTACTGCCAGCGATGCGGCGAGAGCAACGTATGATGCCAGCGTTGCAGCCAGAGCACACCTTGTCAGGTCTCCAGAACGACCTGCTCAAAAGCCATATCGGAAACCACCTTAAGTATACCAGATCCGCCGAGAGAGAGCTATTGACAGTTCCCAGGGCGAGAAGAGATAACGCATTTCGATTATGGAAGTGTGGAGAAGGATGGCGGCGATACATACGATCGATAAGGAGGAGGAGGAGGAGGAGGAGAGGCCGGGGGATTGTGGAGTCCCTGTGGGTTTCAGACGATTTGTTACGATCTTTCACGTTGCTCCTCATCATTATTCTGATATTTTCTCTCTCGTTTTTTTGTTTTCTCTCTCTCTCTCTCTCAATCTCTCCCACTCCCATTCCCATTCCATTCCAATTCCCATTCCCAATACCATTACCCTTACCATTCCCATCCCCATTCACATTACCATTACCTTTATCTTTACCTTTACCATTACCATTACCATGGCCATTACAATTGCCATTGTCATTGCCATTGACATTCCCATTATCACTGCCATTGCCATTACCAGTGCCGTTGCCACTGCCATTGCCAGTCGCCACCCCGTTACCATTACCGTTACCATTACCATTCCCATTACCATTAGCCACTACCATTACCATTGCCATTACCATTAGCATTACCAACCCCATTGCCATTGCAATTACCATTACCATCACCATTACCGCTGCCATCACCATTACATTTCCCATTGCCATTACCGTTACCAGTACCATTTCCATAACCATTACCATTGCCATTATCATTACCACTACCACTACCATTTCCATTCCCGTTCCCGTTCCAATTACCATTACGATTCCCATTCCCATTCCCATCCCCATTACCATTACCATTACCATTACCGTGACCATTGCTATTGCCATTGCCATTGCCGTTGCCTTTCCCATTGCCATTGCCATTACCATTACCATTGCCATCGCCGTTGCCATTGCCATTGCCAGTCGCTATCCCGTTACCATTGCCATAACCATTACCATTACCGTTACCGTCACCATTACCATTCCCAGTACCATTACCATTGTCATTGCCATTACCATTGCCATTGCCATTGCAATTCGGCAGTACCATTACCATTGCCATAACCATCTACGGTTACCATTACTCTTGCCATTGCCATTGCCATTCGCCACTACCATTACGTTTGCCAGTACCATTACCATTCCGATTCACATTCCCAGTCCCAATACCATTACCATTACCAGTACCTTTACCTCTACCTTTACCTTTACCCTTACCATCCCCATTTCCGTCACCATTACCATTGCCATTTCCATTCCCGTTCCCATTCCCATTTCCATTCCCATTCCCGTTCCCATTCACATTACCATTACCAGTACCATTACCATTACCATTGCCATTGCCATGGCCATTACCATTGCCATTGCCATTGCCATTGCCATTGCCATTACCATTATTATTGCCATTGTCATTGTCATTGCCATTGCCAGTCGCCACCCCGTTACCACTATCATTACCGTTACCATTACTAGTACCATTACCATTACCTCTGTCATTACCATTACCATTCGCATTGCCATTGCCATTGTCATTAGCCACTACCATTACCATTGCCAGTACCATTTCAATTGCCATTCCCATGACCATGACCATTACCATTACCATTACCAGTATCATTTCCATTTCCATTACCATTACCATTACCAGTACCTTTACCTTTACATTTACCCTTACCCGTATCATTCCCGTTTCCGTTGCCATTGCCATTACCATTTCCATTCTTGTCCCCATTCACATTCCCATTCCCGTTCTCATTCCCATTACCATTGCCATTCCCATTACACTCACCATTGCCGTTGCCATTGCCATGGTCATTATCATTGTCATTGCCATTGCCAGTGCCAATCCCATTGTCATTGCCATTACCATTACCGTTGCCATTGTCATTGTCATTGCCATTGCCAATCGCTACCCCGTTACCATTACCGTTACCATTGCCACTACCATTACCATTACCATTGCCATTGCCATTCGCCACTACCATTACCATTGCCAGTACCATTTCCATTCCCATTCCCATTCCCATTACCATTACCATTACCATTACCATTACCGCTGCCATTACCATGAGAATTTTCCATTCTCGTTCCCATTCGCAATACCATTACCATTACCATTACCAGTGCCATTACCATTACCACTACCACTACCACTATCATGTCCATTCCCGTTCCCATTCCCACTCCCATTCCCATTCACATTACCATTGCCATTGCCATTACCATTACCTTTACCTCTACCTTTACCTTTACCCGTACCATTACCATTACCATTGCCATGGTCATTACCACTGCCATTGTCACTGCCATTCCCATTGCCATTACCATTACCGTTGCCATTGCCATTGTCATTGCCTCGCTATCCCGTTACCACAATCATTACCGTAACCATTACCAGTACCATTACCATTACAACTGTCATTACCATCACCATTACCATTACCATTACCATTGCCATTGCCATTGCCATTGCCATTCGAGGATTTCAATAGGAATCATTCAGCGGAGGGTTTCAGTAGGAATCCACATGTGGAGGATTCCAATAGGAATCATTCAGTGGAGGGTTTTGATAGGAACCCTTCTGTCGAAGATGTCACTGTGAATCCTTCTTATGGGGGCGTTCAATAGGAATCCTTCTAGGGGGGAGGGCAGGTGTGGCCACGTCGCATTCTTTTTTTTTCTCCTGGCGTCCCCCCCCCCCCCCCCGAAAAAAATACTCCGACGGAAGAACCCCACATAAGAATCCTCTGGGCGAATCTGGAAAAAAAACCATCACTGTCGTCCTCGTGGTTGGTGAGGCGTCCTGGCTGTCTCTTCTGCGTATATTTCCTGTCGCCTTGGCGCGGGCCCCCCTTCCACTCCTTACGTTGTCCCCATCCTCGCCCCCCTGTTTGTTCCGCGCCCCGCCACCTCCTCCCCTTCCTGTTGCATGAGCGCGCATGTCGATGTTCCTCGGCGCCGTCGCCGCCACGGCCAGCACAGGCGCGTTCTCTACTGGTCACGTCGCGCAGCCGTTGGGACAACCCCGCGGGCCAGGCTGTCGGGACAACCCCGCGAGCCGTTGGCGCGCAAGACCAAGCCGTTGGGACAACCCCGCGGGCTTCGAGCGAGGCGCAGCCGCGCTCAGGCGGAAGGCACCACGAAGCCCAGCTCTGCCGCGAGCTGCTTCGCCTCCGCCCTGGGCAAAACCGCCTGAGACTTCCTCCATATTCAGGCTTGAGGAGCCCAAAAGTGACGACAGTTACAGGGTTCCGATGACCCGCTCGGATTACCAACATGATCTGCGGGCCCCATAGGGAGGGAGCTCCCGCCTGAGACTTCCTCACAATTCACTCAGAGACGAGGCTCCCGTGAGACTTCCTCCAAATTCAGGCTTGACGAGCCCAAAAGTGACGACAGATACAAGGTTCCGATGACCCGCTCGGATTACCAACATGATC